TATTCCCCCCTGCAAATTTCTCCACTAATTGAAATGTATTTAAATCCACATTAACATGAATTTAAAACACTGTAGTAAACAGATAAATGGAGGCAGAAGATGTCTTTCAGTCATCAATGCAAACATTCAGTGACACACAGGAGCTCTTTCAAGCTGGGCACCGTTTCATTCACAACACCTGTCCCATCAACCAGCAATCAGAAGCAGAAATACTTTAATTATCCCAGGGTGAAATTACTTTCATTACATTACTCCATCTGTAATAGAGTGACTATAGGACCAGTTTGGTCCTTATATGGAAAACTTTTATCCCACCTGACTGTACGACTCAGTTGAATTTCCCTGTAAAGTGCCTTGACATTACAAGTGTTGGGAATTGGTACTATATAAGTAAACTGAATTGAATCTGAACTCACGTTGCCGTTTGTCCTTGTCTGAAATCACCTACATTTCTTGAATAGTGCTCTGCAACAACAATCAGCCGTTCTATGGAGCAAGAAAAAAATGAAAAAAGTGATCAAAATCATACATCCATATAATTACCTACTACACCAAAATCTGTTATTCATTTAGAGTAAGCGTGCACAGATCATTAAAAAAATCACCTAAAGCAAAATGGAGAAAAACTACATGGAAAAGGTTTATAGTATGCATAGACATTCCACAACATTTACCCTTAAACTAGTACACCTTGGTATTGTTATACAGAGCATGTAACATCATCAATGACCCCTTACACCCCCACCATGGACTGTTCTCCCTGCTGCCCTCCGGAAAGAGGCTCCACAGCATCCGCTGCAGGACCAGCAGGTTCTGCTACAGCTTCTTCCCCCCTGCCATCAGACTGCTGAACTGTTAAAATCTAAACTGGACTCAGCATCACACTCACAACATTATTTTGCTACCAACATAGCTAAATGTTTATAATTCCTTTAAACAGAACCCAACTCAATGTTATACTACATTTGGCATCATATTTATTTTGTGCTGCACTTAACCTTTCCAAATTAATGCCCTTTAGCACCAATATTTTTAAACTGTTTTTTTCTTTTCTCCTGTACTGTTTACATGATGATCACTGCTAGTTCATTTCACTGTTGTAAGTTGGAAACAACGTAATTGGTGAATACGAAATTTATTTAGTTTATTTGGGGTATATTTGGATATTCCTGGAGGAAAATAAAAGCAAAGAAATCTTATTTTCTATCATGCATCGTGCATTAAAGTTGTCTATTGGTGAAGCTGAATGATAATCATGGTCTCAGCAGCCATACCATGTTTCCCTCTGGTAATATCCACATACTGGCACAGTCTGGGGTGAGTGACGGTCTTTAGGATCTGAAAACGCCCCAGGATTTTGATGGAGTTTGGCGTGAGGGGGAGACCATTGCTGCCACACACATCATGAGGGAGAGATGAGGCAAAGAAGGTGAAAGCGCCCAGTTCAGCGTCTCTAAGAGGCTTCATCGATACAGCGGACAGTCCTGAGAAATAAAGTTTCATTTTAATATCACATGAAAAGAGGAAGTGAAATTAGAACAACTCATTCATGCGAACAACGGGTCCGTTACTAGAAAAAATACAGCTCGGGAGACAGGTTTTTAAACACTGATGATGAAATTCAATCTACACCTACAGCTGAGAATATTAATTGCTACAGTAAATCAGTGTACTGATGCGGTGTTGATTCAAATGTAAGTGACACTGCCTAAAAAGAAAACGAAATTTAGCTTAGAGGCCAAAATAAAAAAAATAAAAAAAAACTAGATTACATTACCTTAAAACGTTGTCTTCTTACGCCGAACAAGCTGTATTTTCAAGTATATTGAGTAAATTTGAAGAAATGCAGCGGAAATGTTATTTTTATTTCTGATTCTGTAGGTACGACGTCAGACTGAGCGTGACTAGTGACGCAATATTTGTGCGACAGAGCTGTGAATTTTTTTTTCTAGAAAAAAACAAACAAAACAAAAACATGTAACACATACAATTTCAATTATGAATAAACAGCCATATCTATATTTAAAAAAATCCTTTTCATTTATTTTAATTCCAAATTTTCAAAGCCATTACCTGCAACGACTGTCGTCACTTCCTGTTTTGCTTAAAATCACAGATATATAAAACATATGAACGCAGAAGACTTGTTGTAAACTATGTTACTTTTTTAATCTACATGCTTTAACAATTTAAAGCATCTCAGTCCAGAGCATACAGCCTCTTGCCTGCTAAAAAGCAACGGACCAAATACACAGACACTAGTACAAAAATATATATTTCATAAAGTGCATAAATAGCTTGGATAATAAAAATCATGCTTTTTCTTATGAGGTTTCATATTTTCTTGGTTTAGGATTTATTATCCTGTTGTTACTCGTTGACTCCTCTGTAAAAGAGTAAAAGAAACAATTATATATATACTGCAAAAAAAGAAGAAGAAAAAAACCCCACAATCTCTCAGATTAATTTCGAAAACCAAGATCAGGTTAGCCCAGCAATCAGTCTGAAAAAAAAGTGTATCTGTAAACTGCAAAACTGTGCAAAGTGGTAGCAGGGCTCCATCTAGTGGTGGAGCCTCGTAGTTTCAGTAAATTACTTATTTGACGGCAGTTGACACCGCAGCAGCCTGTCTGCGTCAGTCTCAGGACAGCACAAGAAGCATCTCCTGTTTCATCCCAGCTGTAGACCAGGGAGCACATCTCACAGATAAAGGTAAGTTGGATCCCAGCTCCCTGGATGGCTCCTCTACTACAACGCACATTATAATCATGTTTCTTTCATATTTAAATTTAAAGGATGCTGACCTGTCATGCAAAAAAGAAAAGAGAAAAGAAAAAGAAATATGTCAGGATGCAGATGAATGTTCTATGTTGCCTGCTGTAATTTGATGCCATCTAAAGTGTTAAAGGTGCGCATGAGGGCTGGTTAGGCCTTAGTGGCGCAGTTTCAATTGAAAGTATTTTTCATGAAGGTGGTGGTGCTGTGGAGCCTCAGCTTCGCCCGTTGCTGCTTTCGCAGTAGAATAAACAGTGCCGTGTACCAGTCTGGGAGGATGCTGAGGGATGCGGGACGCTCCTCGAAACGCCCACCTCTGCAGTATTGCATCAGCAGCGTGCGCTTATGTTTCCCTTTGCACATCCTTCCACCTTAGTTTTATTCATCACTATTTAGACTTGTTCCTTTCTTCCCTTTGGAATCTTAAAGCTGGAATCATTGGGGCAGACAGGTGCATCACCTGCTATGTTATTCAGCATTTTCATGATCAGATATGTTGATAGATACACTGAGTTGATACGATTTTCTGAAAATATATATTCCCATATTAACTGAGAAATTCAGATCAATTTGCCTTTTTAATTGGAACTCAGACATGCGCATTAGCCCGGAACAGTAAGCTTTTAAAAGTCTATTTGAAAGGTTTAAAGTAAACCAAAATGTAACTTTAGATTGATGGTATCTAGATTTTCAGTGTTTGCCATAGATTACTTCTTTGCAAAAAAGGCAAGGCTTGGTTCATTTGAAAAATTGAGATTTAATATTGTAGCTATACCTTCCATGTGGGGATAAACTAAACTTCAAATATACTTTTTAAAGTCGACAAGTATTGCCACTTCTGTATAGGAAATTATCCTACACTCTAACTTCAAATTATTCCCTCAACTGGTAACAAGTAATTGAATTAAACTGATTCAGCTTAATTTATTTAGTTTATATGTTGTTATAAACTTGTTGTAAATTCAAGCGTTTCATTTAAGTGTGAGCTGCATTCTATTTTTACAGTGCATGACAATAATAGCACTTATTCAGTAATACTGGAGATAAAAATACACAAAGATTGGAATAATATTTAGAGAAAATAATAATATATTTTCTTTTACATTTAAACCTAATTTAATGTTCCAAATACTGCAGTCTTTAGTTTTCTTCCTTGTCTTAATTGTTTTCTATATGTCCGCTCGTCTTTTTTTTTTTGCTGTAGAGGAGATCTTTCTCAGCAGTTTTTGTTTGCTCATCAAAAAGCATGAAAGCATTTGCAAGAAGTCTGATTGAAATGTCATTGAACAAGCAAAATCCCCCTCAGCGTGACTCAACCGAAAGCTTCTTCCTCTCCTTGGACCACTGGTTCTACATCAGCAAGATGTTTGCATTGCTTAAGGGATGTGGGAAAAAAGTCTGCAATCTTCATTTATTCTGATATTCTGCTTTGACCCACTGGTGCACCCTGGGGCAGGACATAAAAAATTGACATGATTGTGTAAAGCTGCCATTTCTGATTCCAAATATTTTTTGTTGTTGTTTTAATTAAAACAATTGCAACTTAAAGTGAGGTCAACTGCTACAATCAGTTGTATTCTGTGTTTTGTTTGTAATTCTCCATTAACCTGTAAGAAGCTTGCTGTTCTTTTCCCCAGGCATTAACTTTACAAACAAGCCATTCCATGCACACACTATTTACATTACCTCTGACCAGCCTATGTGAGATATTCCTCTAGTAACCTCAAAACATATGGGAAACAAACCTATTAAGGTAACTGAAGTAACACCTTGCAATAACATACTGTAAATATGTTGGATTTTAAGGTTATCAAAGTCCAGTAAAGTCATCAATCTGATATTTGAAGCTACTATGTTTTTTCGTAATCATTGCCGACTGATTTCAGTGGGTGAACTGCTGCAGAGTTTCCCTTTCAGTCTGTCCTTGTATAATTAGATTACAGTAAATGATGCAGAGGTTTATGCAGCTGCTGGTAAAGTTCAGTATCTAGTTCTGCATTGCAGTGTGGTTAACCATGAAAGAGGGATGCTGCATTGGCTTTATTAAGCTTAATTTCTTATTCAGAATTAAAAATACTTTATTTTATTTTGGTCAGATGATATCGTGATTAAAGTATGAACATAACATAAGTTATAATCTTTACTGATAAGCATTGTACCTAATGTGAAGATAGCTTTTTCATGTATTGTTTTTTTGTTGGTGCAAACATTTAGGATCGTCTTCCAGGCTGAGCCAGCATGGGGAAAGAGAAGCTCCACATAAACATTGTGGTCATAGGACATGTGGACTCTGGCAAGTCCACAACCACAGGCCACCTCATCTACAAGTGTGGGGGCATTGACAAAAGAACGATTGAGAAGTTTGAAAAGGAAGCAGCAGAGGTAATATTCATCTGTTTACCACTTTTAAGGATTCTCAGCCTTGCAAATTGAGCAGCTAATTTTAGTGTATCTGGGTTAATCCATTGCTTATATTCACATTTTCTAGTAGTTTTTTTTTTTATTCAAATCTTATCAAGTTAAACCAGAAACCTGGGCTAATACATACAGATGAAAGCGTGATGTCATAGTTTTAGGAAGACATGCAGTATAAGGCTGCAGCATCAGGGCAACCTGCCAAGGAATCAACTAAATAGTCTTCTGTAAATTCAGCTAAACTCATTCATTTAGCCTTTGTAACCTAAAAAAAAGGACAGCATTTAGTGGATCTAAAAAAAATCTACAATTAATTTCAGAAATCACTGCGATTGCTCAACAAATTATCCCATGCAGCTCAAGCCACCGTTTATTACCAATGATTACATCACTGCTAACTATTTTGATCAAGAGCTGAGAGAAGAATCTTTACAAAATAAAAGCTGTACATTAAGCCCAAGCTTACTCTTATATATAAACATCACACTAAATAGCAGTTTTCTCAGATGACAATAAATCTTTGCTCTGCATTAACACCTAAATAGGATAGAAAATGACAGATAAGCTTCCTCTCAATTTTTATGCATTGGTTCTGTTTACTACTTGAGGACGTCTAAACTAAACTATGATTTTCAACACACATTACTGCTTTAAGTTTGAAAAAAATGTCACAATATGGTAATTAAATATTTTCTATTAATTCTTATTGTTTAAGTCAAAAATTGTGTTGTTTTATTTAAATGTTACCTGGAAAAGTTACTAAAAGTTACTAAATGAAAATGACGTTTTTAGGAATGTGTGTTTTTCCTAAAGATTTTTATTAGATTAAAAGAAGATGTTAAAAAATGGAAAGCTTTGATATTGACATCAAAACATAAATTAGATGTATGCTTTTATTTTCTTCATTTTAAAGTGAGAGTTTTGTTGACTTTGTTAATCCTGTATGATATGAGTAGAGCTCAACAAGTGCAACTACAACATGTAGCAATTTAAACACTAGATTATAACTTTTTCCAAACTAAATATTTTTTTGTTCATTTGAATGTTAGATGGGAAAGGGATCCTTCAAGTATGCTTGGGTTTTGGACAAACTCAAGGCAGAGCGTGAACGTGGGATCACCATTGATATCTCTCTGTGGAAATTTGAAACCAGCAAGTATTATGTGACCATCATTGATGCTCCAGGCCACAGGGACTTCATCAAGAACATGATCACTGGGACATCTCAGGTACAATCTAAATAAATACATATAAATCAAAAGCAATATTCCAGTTGCTTCATACTTTCTCCTTTCTTCCATCTTTCAGGCCGACTGTGCGGTGTTGATTGTGGCTGCAGGTGTGGGCGAGTTCGAAGCTGGTATCTCAAAGAACGGGCAAACTCGTGAGCATGCTTTACTTGCCTACACGCTGGGAGTGAAGCAGCTCATCGTAGGTGTCAACAAGATGGATTCAACTGAGCCTAACTACAGCCAGAAGCGCTATGAAGAGATTGTGAAGGAAGTCAGCACTTACATCAAGAAGATTGGCTACAATCCTGACACTGTGGCCTTTGTACCCATTTCAGGCTGGAATGGAGACAACATGTTGGAGCCCAGTCCTAATGTGAGTGTGACATTAGGTTTCTCCTGCAAACCCCTTTCACTATAAGCCATACTTAACATGCCCACCGAACCATGTAGAAACAGAGATGTAGCCTTTGAACTTCCTTGAATTTTTTTTTTCAATTGGTACATTTTTCACGTCGTAGATTTGAGGTGTCAAACTCTGGTTCTCACAAACTGGCCTTGAGCAACCTATAAAGTTGCCCCTTTGCAACAAGTCTAAATAAAATGATTAGATCATGAGCAAACTCGATAAAACTCAACTGTATACTCGGGTGATAATTCAGACGTTTCATGTGTTTTGGACAAGGGGCACATGGAAGTTAGGTGGACTGGAGTTTGACAACCCTGTTGTAAAAGAATTATGAATTATAAAGGGCAGTAACAATAAGTTCTCTCTATAGATGACATGGTTCAAGGGCTGGAAAATCAGTCGGAAAGATGGCAATGCCTCAGGCACTACACTGCTGGAGGCCCTCGATGCCATCCAGCCACCAACCCGACCTACTGACAAGCCTCTTCGTCTGCCTCTGCAAGACGTATACAAAATTGGAGGTTTGTGATTTACTGGTTACAAAAACATGTTGGTAAAATATAAAATAGAGATGCATCTATCCAGTTTGTACCGATATGATATGATACCGATACCTGTAGTGAGCGTTGCAGCCAATATACTGATTCAACTGTTGAAAAAAAGAACCATATATCTTGCCATGAAGGCTTTAGCCTTGAAATAATTGTTCCTAAAAAAAAATTTAAAAAAATAATAAATTATATTATTTATTAACAAATAAGCAGCCAAATGAAATAAATATAACATTTCCCTGTAAAGAGCACTGGATTAAATCTCCAGGATAAGATATGAAACCACTGATTTCTGTTCCAGCTAATTAGTCAATATCAGAGCTGATATCCGATGCAAGAATTGGATTACTGCATCTCTTATATAGAAGCCCCAATTATAAAGTAATGGTTAATGTTATGAGACACTTTAATAAAAAATTATCTTTCATCAGAAAAAAAAGAAAGAATTAGGTCCTGAGTGAACTCCCATGGTAGTGTTCTTTCCTGAATGTTTAAAAGTATAGTGGAGGGTTTCTGCGAATTTTTGAAAAGACTTACCCTCTCCACTATAAATAAAATGCACATGCACAATCCTGTACCTGCTCCCGAAGGGAAACTCCTATTAAATGCGTGCAAAAGCATGCATGAGCCAATTTCCCATCATGTGCGCTCTGTTTAAAAGTTGCTGTTTGCGTCGCTCATACAAGCTTACTTTCCAAAAGAACATTTGCAATTTGTCCACTATGTCAGACTCACCACTGGTAAGTGAAAATGGGGACAAGCATGTAGGACGGCCTTACATAAACATATCACCAGAATGATTGACAATTAGGAGGACCACTTATTTTTATGATCCACCTGGAAAAAGAACATCCTCCACTATACCTTAAATAAAAGCTTTTCAGTGTATACACACCAGCTTAACATGGAGTAACACTGCCTTCTCTATTCATCAGGTATTGGCACTGTGCCTGTGGGCCGAGTGGAAACAGGAATCCTAAAACCCGGTATGGTGGTAACATTTGCTCCTGTCAATGTAACCACTGAAGTCAAATCAGTGGAGATGCACCATGAAGCCCTGAGTGAAGCGTTGCCAGGGGACAACGTGGGATTTAATGTTAAGAATGTCTCAGTGAAGGACATTCGCAGAGGCAATGTGGCTGGAGACAGCAGAAACGACCCGCCGCAGGAGGCAGCTGGCTTCACCTCCCAGGTCTGCTCCCATTAGCAAACCAAACATCTTTGATTTGCCAAAAAACGGCAAAATTGGGTATCCAATTTTGAAACTAGATGGGCTTTCTGCAGCTGGACCAAACTGTGGTCTAAGGACATGGTTTGATGCCCTTCATTTGTATTAGCCGGCTTTTTATTAATAACCAGTTTAGAGGCAAAAAAGCTAAATTTAGTTTTTAAAATAGGGGAATAACAACCATTCATTTGGTGGATAAAAACTAGCCAGTATTTCCTTTTAGGTATTCTAATTTGTTTTCTCCCTAAGTGTTGGTTTTGTTCCTTTAGTTTTTTTCTAACAAAAAAACATTTTTCATAGGTGATTATCCTGAACCATCCCGGTCAGATCAGTGCCGGCTATGCCCCTGTCCTTGACTGTCACACTGCACATATCGCTTGCAAGTTTGCCGAGCTAAAGGAAAAGATAGACCGTCGTTCTGGAAAGAAGCTGGAGGATAACCCCAAGTTCCTGAAGTCTGGGGATGCTGCTATAGTGGACATGATTCCTGGCAAGCCTATGTGTGTGGAGAGCTTCTCTGAGTACCCACCGCTTGGTGAGTATCCCACCCTGTAACAAACCTTCCACCTCCTGCTACTGTATAATGCCTAGCAAATGTCTTAAATTGCCATACATCTTAAAGTCCTTACTACTGATGATGTTGCAGCCATAACTTTGGTCCATGGCCATTTTAGGCAAGACAGAGATAAAGTTGAAGTTTAAAGCAAGGCCAGGTTGTAAAATAACATTCTTGACTTTAAACATCTCTCAGAACATTGTAAGATCAGTAAGACACTGGCTCTGTCTGAACGTCCACCCTAACCCCTGAATCCCTTAATCACTCTCTGGAGCGGGGACTAGATACTGTAGGGGACTCTATAGTTAACTCAGTAAACTGACCGTTCAGATAATCAATATTTTTTGATACCCGTTGGTCGTGTGACTCCGCCTCCCTGCATGGTGACTGTGCCATCTTTGTTATTTACCGCCTACAACAAATCCCATGATGCTTTGCAAGGAGAGTTCCTGCGAAACAATCTGGGACTGCTCATCTATGGACTATCAATGGTCTGTACTTTTTAAGGTGCATATTGGAAATTACTTTTTCATCCACTAGACGTTCAGACACTCATTTAAAATGGTGCAACCACCATATAGTGCCCTATATGGTGATTAGGGCGGCTGTTGGGACACAGCCATTGTGGTCCTCTAGATCAGGAATGGGCAACTCCAGTCCTTAAGGGGTGGCGTCATGACACCTTTAGAGGGCCATGAACACCTATTTAAGTTGTAGGACAAGGACTGAAGTTGATCATCCCTGTCATGGACCAGAAGATTGGGCAGAAAGGATAATTAGTGATCGGCCAAACGCAACAAAGTAAACCATGAGTTGCCGCAAAGATCCCCCACACAAATAAGAAAAGGACTCTTCACATATCTTTTTATTTTTGTTTTTTTGAGACTAAAACATGCATACTTTAAAAAACATACAGGAAGCTACCCATGGAGTGTAATGGTGCACATTATGTGTATACAATAGGGGAGCATAATATTTTGAGCATGATTTTCTTTAGGGGGGAGAGAGAAGTTGGTCAGTTTGGATGGGATGATGAATGGATCTAAATTCAGGGAGATCTTAAAAAAAGCTGTTGAGATTAATATGTTGGTCTACAGTGAACCTACTGTAAGCAGCCAGAGCCGCAGTGAAATGGTATATTTTTAGTTAGAATACACCTGCTAATGTTGAGACCCAAAGACTTGAAAATCCCTGTTCCAAGATGCTCGTCTTATCTGACTGAGCTAATGCCATATCAAAAAGAAGAATGAGAAGTAATTTATTAAAATTGATCTAGTAGAGATATAACTCAAAAAGATGTGTGGCTCTAAATTTGACACACATGGTTCTATAAAGTATTGGCTCTCTGGAGTTTAATCAAATGTGTACCACTGCTGGTTTTATGCCACACATGGTGTCGGATTTCATGTAAATAAAAGCCTAAAACTATGAACCATTCTCCTTTTATTTAATATTAATATAGAAAAAATTTTGAAAATGATAGTTGTTGCATAAATAATGTAAATATATTCAAGGGGCATGAATGCTTTTGCAAGGGATTATATAATTATCTTTATTTTAGCTTCCTGAGAATAAAAAATTAAGTTTAAATCACAGATAAAGAGATGAAATGTAGAGTATTTACAAACTGTCAAGAGTGTATTTATTTTGGTGGTGTGATATTTTGGTGTTACTTTTTTCTTCAGGCCGTTTTGCGGTGCGTGACATGCGTCAAACAGTGGCAGTGGGCGTGATAAAAGGTGTGGAAAAGAAAGCTCCCACGAGTGGCAAGATAACCAAGTCTGCTCAGAAGGCGCAGAAGACCAAATGAATGTTGTGTTGGGCTGGTGCCCCAACTGTTCAGCGCGGCAGAAGACCCGCATACGTCTCCCTCCATCTGCACACCATAGTAAACATCTGGTCCATTATCACAATGCATCGAAAAAGCAGACGAAGGAAAAAACAAATCCATCGCATTAGAGATGAACATCTTAGCAAACTGTTGTGTGTAAGCTCCATCGTATCTTGTTTCGTGCTTGAACATCACAACAGATTTGCATTACGGTTCAAACATGTGCTGTTGTAGTTAAATCTATCCTGCTTATTTATCTAAAGAGGCCCTGTTGTTACGCTGTAGAGATGCTCTTCTCGATGGTCTTTGTAGAAGTAACGTTTCTTGTTAAAGCTTTAAAACCAGTAAGCTCAGCAGCCAGACATATACCGGTTGTTTGCATGTTTGCTCATAGCAGCTTAGGATCCAGCTTTAGACACTTAAACATTTAATCTTAACACCCTGTTTGTCTTAAGCTACCTGATAGTATCTCTGGTACATGTTACTGGAACATTTGTGCACCTTAAATGCTGTTCTTTGTGACAATATGTTGATAAGAGTAAAAAATGTTAAACATTTTTTTTGATTCTGCTGGTTTTTGTTAAAATAAAAGAAACAAACATCGGATTTATAACAACGGAATTATACACAAGTTAAATTTTGTTTTATCCTTACCTTGTTTTCATTTTTTCCCTTTGCTACTGATTCATTTAGGTTTTGTGTTTATGTACAATTAAATCCTCATGTTAATATACACAATATTTAGAGCGATCTCAGTTAAACATCAAATGTTTTTTTAGATATTCTTATCTTTACTGACTTCAAATTTAGATAAATATTTCTTTTAAATGCTATTATGGCAAAATAACTTATTGAGTTTGAGTTCCAGTACCCCCTGAACAGATCGCCAGTCTGTCTCAGATTTATCATAACCAGGAAGACATATATTCAAAATGCATAGCAGTTATACAGCTTGTACTATTTTTAGTTTTTTTTTTCTATGCTTTTTATTTCTTATTTTTCAGGAGATTGTGTTAAATATATTTAGGTTTACTTGATTGATATTTTTAAAGGAAGAGAGAAAAGCATTAAGGCCTGAAAAACCTTCCCCTCAAAAATGATTTGCTGAGTTTGCAGAGTTAAATCTTTAGTGCCGCCGCTGTGTATCTGTAATGATGCAGGGGTAGAAAAAACAAAATAAGCTTCTCAAAGAATCAATTTTATTCATTAATGAGAACAAAAGTCATTTTGCATTTTTTATAACATTACAGGCTGTCTTAAACAAATGCCATCACTAAAGTGTAAATATGTGGACACAGTTGAAATAAATTAAAGGACATGAGACAAACCTTAATGTAACAATTGTCCATTTTATGCCCATTACAAAGATTATTCAAAAAGAACTACTATGTTGCAAGGTGAGAGATGAGGAGTGCAGCAACATGTATGGAATCAGATGCACATTTCAGGAAATTATCCTCGATGTACCACAATATCAAGGCCCCAATATTTTGTAGATCTAAAACAAGAGGTTCGGGCTTTTTATGCAAATATTTATAACTGAAAATACTCTGTGATGTTAAGTGTGCAATCATTTTCAGGTAAAGATCCGTGTGGATAAGGAGGCCTCATGCAAATAATATTTCAATGTAAAAGAGGAAATGATCTTATTTGTATAAAGCTAACTTTTGGCCATCCAGACATATCTAGGGGATGGATGTAAAAAAAAAATGTCATGGAGTGGGAGGATGACTTTTTCAAAATGCTGTATTTTATTATTCATTTAACAACCTCATAGGTAGTGTTATTGGGTCTTTTCCATCACCATCATTATCATCTCAAACTCAAAAATCTATTACAGAACATTTTTTCCTTGCATTATGGCATTTTGTTGGAACTAGCAAATGTTAAGTTTTCATAACTTGTTCTACCTTCTACTAGAGGCAACATAATCTCAATAATAATTTTTGCTCTAACCATTAGCAGGTTTGACGCATGTTTGATTTGCATGAAAGTAAAATGAAAAAAGAAAGCAGCTTTTTTTATGCCTTCTTTTTTGAACTTTTGAGGAATAGGCTAAATCAGCAGTGCACCAATCAGTTGGAATATATATATATATATATATATATATATATATATATATATATATATATATATATATATATATATATATATGACCAGAACTTTTAATATGCATTAATTTTACACTTAAGGCAAAAAGTAAAATCAGTCCGACTGGTTGAAAGGATATGCACCTTCCTGCTCTCATACACAAACAAAATTTTCAGTTTTACCTACTTAAAAACTATATGTTTTTTAATAAATCCACAGAAGGGATTAAGGTGCTAAAAACTTAAGAATATTATAAATTAATCAGACTTTGGATATGAAAACAAGTTAAGTCTAGTCACTGCATCCAGTTCTGCACCATGCAACAGGAAGAGAAAGATGATGGTAAGTTATATTGTCACTGCACAGCAGTTCAAGCAATCTTGAGTTTACACTAATAAGATACACATTCTAACTGCAAAGTCCAGTTTAAAAAGTCAGTTAACAGTCCTAAACAGGAGCAACATAAAACAAATGGTAAGTCTCAGACAAAAATGATCACAACAATGTCTCCAACATGCAGAATTAAAGAGTAAACCAGAAAATGACATTCAATAATTGTTTTAGTCCATGGCAGAACCAGCCTGTGTAAAATTGTTCTGGACATAAAAAGCAGCTTATCCTTTTCCCTGTCCACATTACTGTAGCTTCAACAAACATTAAGTTTGCAGCTCAGCTGAAATTATGGTAAAGGTTTACCTGAAAGTAAAGATTTTTTTATGAAATTCAGCCACATAAGTTGCCTAAGACCATATGTACTTTCAGCGTGTTCTCACAGGACCTTCAGGAAATTACCTGTACTTAAAGGCGCACCATGTAACCATTGACCACTAGGGGCACTAGACCTTAAACTGCTTATATTTTGCTTCTACTAAACATCGAAAATAATAACAAAGGTATATGACAATATATACTTGGAGCAAAGTGTTAACTTATTAGTCTAATAATAAAGTTGGAAAAAGAGAATCAATTTTACATCCAGCTTTTTCTTGAATAAACTCCTTTCCATGTGCAACTCTTGTTTTTCCTTGTGCACGATCCCATCCCTGTTTTCTCTTTTTAGCCTCCTTAGGAGGTTTAAATTGTTTCCTTGCCTTAACCATGACCAGAAGTCGAGCAGGTGGCAAAATAGTAGAGCAAAAGCCTTAGCCCCATGATTATATAAGAGCCTGTTGCCATAAAGCAATACGTTCTTAGAGGTCACGTGACCTGGCCAATGACGGTGCATCATTTCCCAACTTACATAGGCGATATTTCAAGAGGGGAGCCCCGCTCATAGCACTGATAGTGTCAAGTGCAGTATTTTGGCCTGAGGAATCATTTAAAATAACTCATATGCATCAACTCTTTAGGTCACTAAGTCTGGGGTATGCCTTTAAATCAACAAAATGACCTTCATTGAGCTGCAGTTCACAGTGGTTAAAAGGGACAAAGCATGATTATTTCAAGTCTCCTATAAAGTACAATGTGTGAATGTCTTTCTGTGCTAAGCAATTCATGCTGAACACTGTAGGCACAGTCATGAAATTAAAAAGTTATGTTAATGTCATGTCATTATGCAAACCTGCTATTTAATTATTTTGGTCTGGAATAAAAAATAGTTCTTAGTCTGGTCTGTGCCCAAATTCTCTCTAAGAAGTATACATTAATGATGGAAACAATAAAGCTTTAACAATAAAGCTGGAGGTAAACAGATTATGTCTGTTACTGATATTAGTGGAGTAGTTCTCCACCATTGTCATGTATGAAGAAAAATAAGGGAATGAATCCAAAAAGTTTTTTTAGGTGAGTTGATAAGATTACAAAGCAGCTATAAACAGAATTTCAGTACTTCCTTAATATGGGAAAGAACTTCTAGGCTTTTGTAATCCTTTTGCTTTTCCGAGCTTTAAGTCTCCAGACTTGTCGTACTAATTTAGATCGCACATCTGATATTTTGCAGGGTCTTTTTGATGTAAAACAAAGGACCATGAGAAAATTCATATTCAAGAATTTGTCCACCTATTTTCTTAGTTGAATACATGTTTTAGAGGGCTAATGTTACAGCTAAATCAATATTTATGATGCTCGGTACACTTTACTTTGAAAATGTCTCCAAACCAATCATACTGTGAGACCATCTCTTGTCCACAGCTCCATAGTCTCTGGACAGGCAATTTTTTTTTTTTTTCTCCCAGGAGTAAGCCCTCTTTTATAAACCTGAATGTGCAATGGTTTGATTGGGATGCAGAAAATGGAAAACTCTCTTTATTTTTAACATTTTTAACGGCAGACACTTTTGTTTTTGGAGCACCTTTTGCAAAATGCACATCGTACAACATCAGTAACACCACTGGTGTCACTGAAAGAGTAATATGTGGAGGTAAAAAATCTTTTTTATGGATTGCAATATTCATCATTTTTGGGCTAGGCGATATTTCTGCTGATTAGAATCTGATAAATTCTTAATTAAAAACTGTTGATGGGAGTAAAACTTCGGCTGGAATCTCCAGACTGGACCTCTAATAAAATGGGAAAGAACTAAAATCATTTACAATCGTCAAAAAAAAAAAGCTAACGCTTATTTAAAATATGTTGTCAAAATTGACACTAGTTAAATATTACATTTCATTTGTGTGTTTCTCTCTATATAATATTTATGATTAAAAAGGTAAGAATTTACCCATTTCATCTCTCAGCAAAGACCAGCCATTCTCTGGTTTTATCGATGGCAATAGTATTTCCCTTTTATTTTTTTATTTAATTTCCAAATTTCTGATGGCGTTGTACTAATGAAATACTGTATGCCTTCACAGCATCACTGATTAGTTGAATCTGGCTTTCATTAGAAACATTAATTCAGGAAGGCGTCCTTTTAGTGAAACCCAGCAAACACTGCTTGACCTTTCTCGTTGATGAGTCAGAATTAGGAATTTAAATCTCTCTTTTATGAGCACAGAACCAGTTTTTTTTTCATTACACTATTGTCTTTTTCATGGTCTCAATTTTTAACATCACCCAAGACTGGTATTTTAGCAGTGCTATAAACACTTTCTATATGAGATTGAAATTCATGCAAAATGTGCATTTCCGTCATTGACTAAATTATTCAAGAAAAATGTTTATAAGAAAACAAAGTAAGTTGGATAAGATCCTTCAACTGGTCCACTTGCAGAGGTCTGGCTTTCTAAAATATATTTAATGTTATGAAAAGAAAATGCCCACATTTCTCAGTAATGAGGTACTCTTTGTTTCAGCTGTCATGGAACAAAACAAGCTTCTTACTCACAGTTATGTAGTTAAGTGTTAGGTGCACAAACTTTAAGTGTAGTTTCATATCTGTGCATTTGACTGGAAACATGCAGTTCATGCTATATAGCAAGGTCTAACACTGACCCAGGCATTACTTAGTAGAACACAAACATTATCTCCTCATTTTTTAGCCTTCCTCTTTTATCTCAGATTCTTTAAGCATACACTAAAACACAGAGTAACTCATGCCAAAAAGATCTGCCTGTATGAAAAAAAAATGTAAATCTTATAAAACGGATCAAGGTAAAAATAAACAAAAGAGGACAAGAGCCCATGTGAAAATCCCAACCCACCCACCTCCCTTCATAAAAAATAAAAACGGTCGCTGAGGTGAGATTTGTGCGGATTTTTAACATTTTGTGGGTCTATTTTAGCCGTACGTGTGGCATGTTCAATGGTTTGGCGTTGCTAGCCGAGTGCGGCGGTTGGGAACCATCAACCAAGTTAGAGCCTTGGGTCCCTGCCCCTGCTCTATCAGCTGTCCTCAGGCGCTCCGGAGAGATCATTGGAGTCTCAGATGTCCCCTGTGACAAAAAGTCAAACCCCGGTGGCTCCATGTCCCTGTCACTGATAAACAGGTCCTCCTCACCCCAACAACCTTGACCTCCCCGTCTTGCACTCCCACTCCCTTCCGCAGGGTCATGGCGACAGCTGCTGAAGCCTGTTGGAGAGTCACTGCTTGTACTTGGGCTTGGAGATGATAGGCTGTGGCTTTGGTGTGCATCATTAACAGGACCTACCTGCACCAAGTCCTGCACTGACATAGATTTGCCCATCCCTTGGTCCATATGGATGGGCCTAGAGCAGCAAGCTGGAGCAGGTGGCACGAGGGGCTCAAGCTCAAGACTCATATGTCTCCGCCAGGAGCCATCCTCCTTAGCATTGGGCCTGCCATTACCATTGGTACTCCCTTGTAACTGATCCCCTAATGTTCCCAACCCAAACTGAAGTCCAAGGTCCTCCCTAATACAGCTGTCCTCAGTGTGGCTCTGTAGACCTCTGCAGAAGCTTCTTATTTCAGGAGAAGCCTCAGTAGAGGTTGTTCGCGCAAATTTCCCAGAGCCAGCGCTTTGTCTGGAAGGGGGCGGTGGAAGCTTCGCTAACAGAGGGAAGCCTTCATCCTCTATTCCTTGGCCTCCAGAACTGCTTGTGCTGTTCGGGGTCAGGACAGTAGGGGAGTTGCCAACATTCTCATCAGTGCCACTTTCAGGTGATGTGGCCTGAACCTGTTTATGATGTTGCAGATGGTGATGATGATGATGAGGCAACGGTGACGGGCTAAAAGGGGAAGATGTGTGGCCAGAGGGGGGTGTGGACGACGAGGCACGGAGATTCAGGTTAAGCTCGCTCTGAGGAGCCAGAATAAGGTGGAGTCCTCCCTGGGAAAGCTGGGAGTTGGTTGACGATCGTGTGGCGAAGCCAGTTGGGTGAGGCGCACTGCCGTAGCTGAGCTGGGCGGAGCTGGAGAGATCCTTACTGAAGACTGAAGAGTTGTAGTCTGAGGTCTGTTCCAGCTCAAACAGCGGCAGTGAGGAGAGTGTGAGAGCAGAAGAGGAGCCTTTACGTAGTACCTGACGGTAAATGTCCAACAGAGAGTCTAACTTTGACTCAATTGACTGCACCTGTGTGGAAAGACAATGATGACAAGACTGAGAGGTGAAAATAATCAGAGCTACAGCCAATCTCCTACTGGTGCTTCTCATAAAGTAGAACATGAACAAAAACATTACAATTCAAAAAGTGAAACACATTTAACACACATGAATGAGTTTTTCTCTCCCTAGCCCAAGTGGAACTTTAATTTACTTTAATTTTCCCTTTGGGTCAGTAGTGGTTAAACAGAAGGGATGCCACAGCTTTAAAGCATGTCATGGGCTCTAAAAGCTATGACTAGAGATGTATCATGTCTCTTGTGTGTTTTATAAATCTATAAAATATGTTTTTCCTTTTTAAACTGAATCCTTAAAATAAATTAACTTTCTATGACATCCTTATTCATGAAGTTGCATGACTATAAAGCAGGTTTACAGAAAGCCGTTAGCCACCAGTTTTACCCACCTGCCTCTCCACCTTACAGACGCGGCCCAGCATACTCATGTCCTCTGATATATCTGCATCAGACAGCAGCTTCTCTCTTATCTTCTTATCCAAAGGGACCTGTCCCTTACCAAGGATTTGGTCCACCCTGGATTGGTTACAAACACAGAAACGATATGTAAGTATAAGGAAGAACAATTATGTCAAATTAAAAACAAAACTGAGACACAAACCCCCCAAAATAAGTAATGATTGGAGAACAAATTATAAAAATATATTGTTTTAAATATACTTGTACTCCAGACAGGACTTCAGACAATAATGTGCCCCGTTTTTTATTGGAAGGGGAATCATTTTGACCAGGAAAATAAAAATGGAAAAATTTAAAAAGCCATGGCAGCAATTTATCTACAATATTCATTTAGCTAATATTTGGATTCTATTTAATTTCCCAACCTGCAGTTTGAGAGTCTGAAATAATTTCCAAAGATTTGGCCATAGCTTTAGGATCTTTCTTTTAATTAATTCAATTAAATGTTTTAATTCAACAATAGGAAGGTTCTAAGTAAAAAGAAAATGCTAAGTAAATCTGTATAAACATCAGAAAATATTCTTGTATAAAATATTAAACGTTAAGGCGACAGACTGGCGACCTTTCCAGGATGTACCGTCTCTTGCCCATAGACTGCCGGAGATAGGTACCAGCCCCACAACGACTCTGACAAGGACTAAGAGGGACAAAATGAATGGAAAAGCATAGCTATTCATCATTAAACCTATTTTCTACAGTTATACTGGTTAAGTTTTGCCATGATGTCCAGTTTAAACATTTAAACATGTATTTTCTTCCATAATTAATATTGAAGGAATTGATGTATTAATTTGTTTAAATGCAGATGGCTGCTTACACTGAGCCAGGTTCTGCTGGAGGTTTCTTCCTGTTAAGAGGGAATTTTCCTCTACATGCATGCTTGGTGTGAGGGATTAATGAAGACTCAATGGAAACACGAATACTGCTGCCTTGAGCTCATCAAGGAAGAGCATGTCTTCCAAGTCAATAAGTCGATGTAATCAGCTGGTTTTCCTAGGCAGGAACGTCCAACTAATCTGTATGATCTGGTTGAATTGTTTCTGTAACGTGCCTTTAGATGATGACATGTTATAAATTGGTGCGATATAAATAAACTGAATTGAATTTAAATATTTAAATATAACATTCTAGTCATTTATCTATGTTAGCTAGTTATCCTGTCTGTAATATTCAATTACTTTACAGATGTTTCTTAGTACAGAAGCAAATCATTTTTGATTTGATTGTTTTTGTGCAATTCTTATCTAAAAACTAAGAAAACCTGCAGATCTTTAGATAAACGTAATAGAAAGCAAAGATTAGGTTCACATTTAAGTAGTTCTTTTAAACCCTGAGATTTGCTCAGTGTTGTTGGTGGAAATGTGATCCTAATTGTCTCTAATCGCCACAGTTCTGCTCTACCTACAGTCCTGTGTTTTCCTGATTCAGTTTAAGTCGTTTGCAAGATCACAGCACATGGATACAAACTCATAGACATGTTTAATTTGTGATTTTTTAAAATAATACAGTATACTGTATCATGACATAATAGTGTACCTGAGCTCAGAAACTATATTCCTTGAATAGACTACTACTGTAGGTTTATCCTGTCCCATCTTAGATGAAGCACATGTCTCCAAGAAAAACTAATGCACCTCATTTCAGTACTGCTTCCCGAAAATGTCCGTTGCCACCAAACTCAAATACTTCCTGATGTTGGTCGTAGTCACAGTGCCTTGATTTTCATCTTACAATTAAGTGAGTAAATCCATTAACAAAGTAGAAAGTAGGCCTAATGTGTCACAAATCATGATACTATTTGAATAATTTCTAATTGGAATGTTAGGATCGCATGAATCATATTTTTTATCATTACACCTAGTTAAGATCTTATGCTGAAGGTAATTCACAGGTGCTGCAGCAGTATTTCTGTTCTGCAACAGCAGGGGTCAGTATTAACACAGGGATGTATTTGTTAGTATTGTTCAATGGAAGAAAGGAGAGAAAAAAAGAAAAGGTCTGCTCCATCATTTTAAAACCACTATAAAAAGCCCTATTTTAATATGTTCTAATCAAACCTGGGGACTAGAGATACTGCATACATCAAGTGTTTTGACTGAATAACATTTCCATAAACGCTAATCCACAAATGCCCCAGAATTGCATCATGCATAAATAAATAGGTAAGTTACATTTCTGTGCGTCTATTGAGGATTTATAACTAGAAATACAGTAATTATGAATTTCCTAGTCAGTACCAGTTTTAAACTTTAAAAAAGTGAATTAATGCACACATATTTTGTTGATTTATTTTAGGGGGGGGGGGGCAGATTTATGGCTGACTTGTGCATCTCTGCTCATGATTGATAAACAAAAATCTTTTTGCTTCATTTGACTCTGTGGCATGTAATATATTAAGAATGGAGGATTATGGGGTATTCTGACCCCCTGATGGAGTTATCCCTGGCTGAAAAACACAGACAGGGAGGGGAGGTGAGGGAAAGGATCTTGGCTCTGGTACTCAGGGTCTGTGTGTCAATGGTCATGTCCAGACTGTGAGAAAAGCAAACATATGCACTCACAGAGGGACTTAAACCCCAAAAGGAAAAAGCTTACATCAATATCTTGATGTATATTCACAATATGCATTCTTACAAATATACACAAAACATATCCATTAACCCAGGGGCTCCAGGAATAAAAGCTGATATCTAAGGCAATGTGCAGCCTTTCATGGTTCCTACCTGCTCTGCAAATTCTTAATGCGACACAGCATGTCCAGGTGACCGGCAGAGTACTGCTCGATTACATCCTTCACATCATATGGACGGAGAGTCTCCTTAAACTTCTTCTTTGCAACATGGAACTTCATTATCCTAAAGGAAAAGCACAAAGATATTCAGAATTCAGTCAAAAGAGGGTGCTCCAACACAGTAAGAAAGGAGAATCTGCAGCAGCTTCACCACAATAATTGTTTTCTTTCTCTTTAAATAAGAGCCATTCTGACAGTTTCTCCATTGTGGCCCCAACACTTGAATATCCAGCTGAAAAAAATCTAGTGTGGGTTGTAGCTGTGTCTTTAGCTATGTGTGTTATACCATTTCTATAAAAAAAGATTGATATACCCAAGTTATTTCAAGGCTACAAATAAAAAAATATATATGACTAAACAGGGGAAAAGGCAGCAAAGAGGGAATACAAATAAATAAATATGTGGATGAAAGCTATATATCAGATAATAAATAATGTGTGGATACAAAAAGCTTAAAAAAAGTAAGCATATCTTCCGGAAAGGCTCCTTCCTAGTAACATATTCAAAAACTGTGTATATAAGTACCGTAAGCAAAATGCCCATATTGAATAAGGGCAGAATTGTTCAATAAGATATGACTTAATGAGAGCAAGAAGGTTCATATAACTTGCAGCTTGCCTAAAAACATCTAGAGATAGGTGGCAACCCCTGCTGGATGAGAACAAAAAGTTAGATTTGCTGTTCTTTGTTTTTAAGAATATGTTTCTTTTAATTCTTTAAAGTCGCCATAATAATACAAAGAACAAATAGCAAAGATACCCATTCCAAACCTGGAGGAGCTGCACAGATTCACCACTCAGGTGGCAGAATATTTAGACAGGATAGCAAAAAATTGTTCACTTCACAAATAGGCCGTTTATGAGGAAACGTAATTGCTAAAAGAAAACCATTTTAATCCTGTTTACAGATTGTAAATGCATGGTAAAGAGCTTCCATGTGGCCGGAGTTATTCTGGTCTGGAAAGGTCGAAATAAACTTTCTAGGCAGCAACCTAAATACTATGATTACATTTTATCCCAATCAAACCATTTAGGTTAGGGATTTTTTTTTAGCAGAGACTGAGATGTTGGTCCTAGTCGATGGAAAGATGGCTAAAGGTAAACACAGGTCTCTGCCACAGAAAAACTATAGTTATAGGTTTGAGACAAGAGCAGAGGTTCACCTGCCAGCGGGGCAACAAACCTTAGGGATGAGGATGGTTAAGGATTTATTGATACGACTACTCTAAATGATACCCCTTATCAATCCGATATTTTATAGATACTCTTATAAATGCCTTTCTTAAATTAACACATTCAAAAATTAAAACGAATAATGAGTTCTGCTTGGTTTATAAAAAAAAAATAGAAGAAAAAAATGTAAGTAAAAAATTTATCTTTCTTTACATAAATGAAATAGTAACACTGTATAAGTAACATTTTATATATAAACAAAAGACTAAAACATTGTTGTGGAAAAGCATATCAAGACTCAAATATTAATTAATATTATACCAGAACCAGCTTGGGTTCTAGTATAATATGGTTGCTATGATAATAATCTGGTTGCTATACTATCAATTTGAGGCACAGCATGGATGGGGTGAGAGGTTAAGTATAAATCAATTACAGGGAGAAATCTATTTAAGAAAAGAGTTTTAGAGAAAATAAACATTAAGTTAAAGGTTTTGTTTAAATCAAATTTACATTGTAATCAAGGGTGGAATCAGTGGAAGCTTTGCTAATGCAGGGCAAGTCATTTTCAAAAGGGAAACAGACTGTAGTTACTCTCTTCCTTCAAATGACTGCAGACACAGTTTCCTGCATGGCGAGACTGGACGACTGCAGCCTTTCAGTGCTGTCAAAGTGGGAGGGGTTTACAACAACATACGCTGCTGCTGAAGACAGTAAACCCAGAGAGCTCAGTGCTTTCCCTCAATGCCAAAGTCTCCAAAACACAGGAAAAAGTTGCTAGACTGGTTGCTAGCTGCTTCTTTTTTTCTTTTTAAAAGTATCTTGTGCCGTTTTGTTACCAGGCGTCAGTACATGTTTGATACCGGGTGCCGGTACTCATCCCTAACAAGCAAGGTGCTATAGAGTGGAATAGCATATTTTTAACCAATCAACCCATATTTGTAAAATCTTTCTCAAGACAAAAAAAAAAAAAAGTCTCCATCCAACACAAACGAGCTTCGCCTCAACCCAGCCTCAAATCATAATGGTTTTAAGTAAGGTCAATACTTTTGCAAAGCTTTATAGGATCATTATCAAGTGCTTAAAACCATAATAACCATACTTCCTGAATATTCACTATGTCACAGAGGCTATTGGAAAAAATGAAAATATAGAAGAAAAAAACATTTAGGTCATTTTAGTGCCAGACACTCAGGGGAGGTACTAAATGCAGTAGACTGCATTCAGAAAAAATGAGAAAGAAGCATCAGCTGTGGTACAATAAAATCTGATTGCTTTGGACAAACCTGACGGCTCGGATGACAGTCTTAACGGATGGCATCAAGTCTTCCACGGAGATCTCACAGTGACAGCCCTTTTCATCAAAGGCATCTTCCCCGGCAACAGCGGAGTCTGCTGCTTAAGGAACAGGCATAGGAGAGGGATTGTTCATCGTCATATACAATAAACTATGCGTCACTCGTGGGATTATAGTTAAACACATCAACATATTTGTATAATCAGCCTTTTGATGAATCATATGCATTTAATAAAAGTAAAAAGAAAAGTAAAATGTCAGAAAATTCAATATTTTATTAGTTCAAAGCCCAATGTGAAGCTACCATGTAAGCCACTACTCGTGATCTGTATAAAGCTGCTGGATCCAGGAGCAAAGTATGTTGAGGCTTCCTTATGTGTCTCATAATGATGACAGGGGGATTTAGTGAATGGAAAAGGAAAGAGGGAAGAACTGATTGAAGCGTCTGGAAGTGCAGACTAGTTGTAAAGAACAAAGGCCTCTGGTGTGTCTTTAGGATTTATCTAAACAGCAGCTCTGTTTATAGAGTTACGACTTCCTGGTGAAGTAAAAATGGGGTCACAGTGAAGCACCTTTAAAATCAAATGTAAAGACTCTAATAGAACAGAGCATGTGTTTGAAACAAAATGTTTTTTAAATGTTAATGCAACCCATAAAAATGTCTTTACCCCTTTCTCAGCCCTCACCCACCCCTACCAGTCCCTGCACATACTAATCCTAAACCTGCTTGAACTACATTATGATTGCGACATGAATGCTATTGACTCTTCTGAATTGCATTTGGAAGTTATCTACAAACTAAGAGTATTCATGTCGCCTAACAGATGGATTATTAAAGAAGCAGGATTTCACAGAGCAGCTCCCAAATGCTAAAAATTCAAAGCCGCCAAAGAAAAGCCCCAGAGTTTGATACCCCACACATACAGTCATGGGGAAAAAATATATTTGTTCGTCTCTTTATTTTTAATATACAACTATAGGTACATTTGTTTGGAAAAATATACTGATAACAAGTAAAATAGCAGAAAGGTGTTTGTTTAACACTTGCCAAGTGATGTAGTTTAACATCATTACATATATCTTAAATTAAGCTAATATTTGGGGAAAAGTTATGCTGCATTGCTTTAGGTTCTAGCTAGGGTTGGTAAATGAATTACATTTACAATATAATTGCAATTTTACAAAACACAACTTTTGAATTGAAGTGGCACTCAATTTGGGTGAAATTATCTCTACTGATGGCAAAACAGACTTTCTCGCTCCAACTCTTTAGGTGGCAGTAGTAAACTTAAAGAGCGTTTGCCCGTACACATACGGGAAAGCAGAGTCATAGCTAGTGTGCAGATCCATACATTGAAATAAAAATCAGCACTTTTCTCTAAGACAGTAACAGTAAAGTCAATAAATTGCAATATTGGTATAAAAAAATAGTAAGATGCAATTTCAAAGTTTGGCAGAATCGCTAAACCTTAGTTGTAAAATCTATACCTGTGGCATCTTATTGCCTAAGACACTGCTTACCAAAGTTTTCTTTTCTGTACATATCAGCAACATCATAAACACATAATTAGAAACTTCATTGCATAGCTATTGTTTTTAGAAATAAAGGTAGTCTAATAATTTTTTCATAACTGTTTAATTTAAAGCCAACTGCTTTGAGTAAAAGTCACTGGTCCTATAGAATCTTTACTTTGCTCAAATATTGGTCATTTGCCCCAGAGGCTGTACATAGCCTACAATATGCTGCAAAAATTATTAAATGAACCCATATGTTGTCTTATGTCCACTTATCAATAATATCACAGCTAAGAGAAAACAACTGTCATCAATGAGTAGGATCACAACAAAGCTATTAATTGTAGGTTTAGAAGCAGATTACAAAAGCAAATAAAACATGATTTGAAATGATAACATTTATAAGGGCAACTTTTTTGTACAACAAAGGCTATTCCTGTCCTGTCAGTGAAAACAAAGGGTGGGGGAGTAGTGTTACTGACCATCAGTGGTGGAGCGGGACTGGCTCTTGAGCCGCAGCGAGGGCCTGAAGCGGGTGCGGTCATTGAAGCTCCAGCTCTTTTGCACTTTGGCAGGACTGGTGCCCTCTGTGCCACTGTCGGCCACCGGAGAGCGGCGATCGTTCACTGAGGAGGTCTGCCGGTTCTTGATAGTCTGTCCGCGGGGGCTTGCCATCCTCACACGCTCCTTGAAGCTCAACTTCTGGCTGAGAGTGAGAGGACCAGGAGATGTGCAGAGGGAGTTTGAGTTTGCAAAAGAAAAGGGACATAATAGTTAAAAGTAAAATACAGATGAATATTGTTTATTTATTCAAGTTTGAGATCAGTAACTGGAATTTCTTCAACTTGTTTATTTATAAAGGTATTTACATCATTCAGAGCTTTTTCTGAGATAAAAGTAAATCAACTGCAGGGCAAGAAGAAAAGACAAGCATGCATTGCTGAAGCTGCTGTATACATAATGCAGGCTCTGCTTGAAGTTGATGTTCCTGATGCATAGCAAGGATTCTAAAGCATTGCATTTTATTTTAATAGAACATTTGAATACATCAGCCTTCAAGATACTGCTGGGGAATATCAAAATATTGTAATTTATACAATAACTTATTACAGGCCAGAACGAAAGTAACAAATAATGTATTTCCTTTTGTTGTCTATTTTGTGAAAGTGTAAAATTTAAATGACTTAATTTTTTTATGTTTTGCTAAGCTACAACCAACTTTAAGACATTTTAATTAAATGTGGCAGGCCATTACTAAGTGATCTACTCTTCCAGCATTTTCCTTCTAAAAGGTGAATTTCTGCACTAGTGTTAACTAAACTGAAGCATAGTTTAACCATTTTTCTCTTTTCTTAAAAAAGATTCCAGTTACATCATTTTGCCACAACTATTCTTTGCAGTAGTGATGGTGTGTTCACAAGGAGCAGGCCAGCTAAAAGGTCAATTACTGTCTTATTTGAGATATTTCTATATTTTTTCATTAAACAATATTCTAAGATTATTCTAATCATAAAATATTATAATTACTATAAATTTAGTTTCTCCCCATGGTTTTTATTCAATGAATTAAAT